AGTTTAGTTTTAGTTTTGTTATGAATGGTCCTAATAAAAATGCCAGATAATTGTTTTTTAAAAAAATCAGAAATACTTGTTTGTGAATGCACTGTTTTCAGGCACTTGACAGAATTGAGAAATAATAATAATAAAACGATTCTGAAAAGATTATAATAACCTTTTGAAGTAAGTTCTGACTGAGATCTTTGGGATGCCATACATTTCCCCTCCACTTTTGGTGTCTCTAAATATGGTGGCTAAACTGGCCTTTTTGATTTGACACCCCAAGATTATTATTTTAAAGTTTAGCTTACTGATTTCCTTCCAAAATGTCATGACTAATGGAAATATCCAGGCTGCCATAGTTTATTATGCAGCTGGGTTTATTTTTTCCCCTTTTTTCATCAATTGGGAACATTTCATTAGGCAATAGTCAGTGATGATTTTTAAAGGGGCCTTTTAAAATGCATACATACTATGATATTGAACGTGGAGTATTAAGAATCAACTTCATTCCTCTTCTCAACCAGTTTTCTATCTCCTCCAAAGTTTGTCAATGTTTTCTGGCCTCTGGGCATGTTCAATCTGCTATGGGTTTTTTTTTTTTCTTAAAACCCTTTTGTGTTCTTTTGCAAAAGTAAGGTTTTTCTAAGCCTCAAAGAAGAGAACATTTGCCTGCTTTAAGATGGTGCCATACCATTCTAGCTATATAGGTCTCTGGTATTGAGATAGCTGCTAGTGTATCTGACGATTAGTATTCTACTAATTAAAAACTACGGGAGAGATAAAATATGCTCAATTGTCATATCAGATCATTAATGAAGAGAAGGACGAGGGGGGACATGACAGCAGTGTTCCAATATCTCAGGGGCTGCCACAAAGAAGAGGGAGTCAAGCTATTCTCCAAAGTGTCAGAAGGCAGGACGAGAAACAACGGATGGAAACTAACCAAGGAGAGAAGCAACTTAGAACTAAGGAGAAACTTCCTGACAGTTAGAACAATTAACCAGTGGAACAACCTGCCTCCAGAAGCGGGGAATGCTCCAACACTGGAAGTTTTTAAGAAGAGACTGGACTGCCATTTGTCTGAGATGGTATAGGGTTTCCTGCCTGAGCAGGGGGTTGGACTAGATGACCTCCAAGATCCCTTCCAACTTTATTATTATTATTATTATTATTATTGTTGTTGTTGTTGTTGTTGTTGTTGTTGTTGTGGTTGTTGTGGTTGTGGTTGTGGTTGTTATTCTTTATATTAATACATTTGATTTGTATTCCCAGATGTTAATGGATTGACTTCCTGCTATCTCCGAAGAATGTGATTCTTTGGGCATCGCTTAGTTTCTCAGTTCCTTGATTCTTGTTTGGGGGTACAAGATGACTACAAATTGCTTGATCTTGTCTGAAAGAAGAAAGAAGAAAGAAGAAGAAGAAGAAGAAGAAGAAGAAGAAGAAGAAGAAGAAGAAGAAGAAGTAGTAGTAGTAGTAGTAGTAGTAGTAGTAGTAGTAGTAGTAGTCTCATACCCTTGACTGAAATTATCACAAGATGAGGAGGCTATTTTGGAAGAATTCTATATGCAAGATAAACCTCAGAAATCAGATTCTAGTTCTGGTTAGCCTGGCAGCTCCTTTCCTTTAGTGGCCAACCAAACACTTCCCCAAGTCCTAAGAGCAGGACTTGGGTGCCCCATAAAGACATTGGGATCCTTTTCCTAAATCTGTTTACTTCATCTGTCTGCAAGAAAAGCTATGGCTGGTTTATTTGTGGTGCCATATTCAGTTTTGTTGTAAGGAGCAACTGTTTGCTTGCATTTCCACCCTAGATTTGTTCCAGTATCATTTTCTTGCCTCTGAGATCCTTTCCTTATAGCGGAGACCCCAAACGTGGAACTTGCAGAGATTAAAGACTGTGTCGATTGGAAGAACTAGGAAAGGCTAGTGAATTAGAGTGTCCTGCATGCTTAACAGAATTACAGAGTTGGAAGGGGCCTTGGAGGTCCTCTAGTCCAGGTCTTTTCAACCTTTTCACCCATTGTACCACTTTTAGGATATGGCAACATCCGAGTACCACCAGTCGCCTAGCAAGGTGTCAAAAACTTGATGACCCCCCAAAAAAGGAAAAAAGTGATAAAGTACAGGTAGTCCTCGACTTACAACAGTTCACTTAGTGACTGTTCGAAGTTACAATGGCACTGAAAAAGTGCCCCCCAAGCCACAGCCGAGCAAGACAGTGCCCGGCGGTGCTCTTCCTCCTGTTCGAGGTTTTCATTGTTGTGAGCATTTCTGTTGAGGATTGGCAGCGGGGGTGGGGTGGGGGGGTGTTTGGTTTTTATTCCCCCGTCTGCTGAGTGGTTGCAGCAGGTTTTGGTCACTTCACATGACCCTGGGACACTGTGACCGTCATAAATATGAATCAGTTGCCAAGCATCTGAATGTAAATCCCAAGACCCTGGAGATGCTGCAACATTCCAGCTGATCGGCGCTTCTTCTGGGCTCAGCAGAAGGGCCAGGATCAGTGCTCTTTCCAGGTGATTGGTGCTTCTTCAGGGCTCAGCAGAAGGGCCAGGATCAGCGCTGAGCTCCAGCTGGAGCCTGGCGCTGATCCTGGCGCTTCCACTGAGCCCTGACAGCCCCAAAGAAATGCCGATCAGCTGGAAAGCGGCACTGATCCTGGTGCTTCCACTGAGCCCTGACAGCCCTGCAGCTCCAGCCATCTCTCGCTCAGGCTTGTGCAGTGCTGCCACCGGTTCAGCTCATTCCCCTCCCCTGCTACCACTTTTCTAGGATGGTCGCGTACAATCTGCCAGGTGCCACTGTACCACAGGTGGTACCCGTACCACTGGTTGAAAAGCCCTGTTCTAGTCCAGCCCCCTGCTCAAGCAGGAGACCCTAGACCATTTCAATCAATCAATCAGAATCAAGCTGGAAGGGACCTTCGAGGTCTTCTAGTCCAGCCCCCTGCTCAAGCAGGAGACCCTATACCAGTTCAGACAAATGGTTGTCCAGTCTCTTCTTTAAAAAATGCAGTGTTGGAGCATTCACAACTTCTGGGAGCAAATTGTTCCACTGGTTGATTGTTCTAGCTGTCAAGAAATTTCTCCTTAGTCTAGGTTGCTTCTCTCCTTGATTAGTTTCCATCCATTGCTTCTTATCCTGCCTTCAGGTGCTTTGGAGAATAGCTTGACTCCCTCTTTTTTGTAATAGCCCCTTAGATATTGGAACACAGCTATCATGTCACCCTTTGTCCTTCTTTTCATTAAACTAGATATACCCAATTCTAGCAACCATTCTTTATATGTTTTAACTTCCAGGTTAATTTTCTTTTGCTATCTTTTCTGACGATCTGGTATCCATCTATTTCATCCTTTGCAGAGCACCAACGTTATGAAAACCCTCTGCGATAATTTTTTCATGCATATAAAAAAACAACCCTCCAAGGACTTTTATTTTACATGCTCTTTCCTTGGCTTTCCCAAGGGAGATGGCGAGTCTGATGTTGAGTCAATTCTAAAATTTCTGAGGTGGAGAGAGCAGGAGCTGGCAACCCTCGTGAGGCCCTAATACATGGTTTTAATTTTTTGGTGGAACTGCCTGCTTGTCAGCCCAATGTAGTAAGAAGAACTGAAGGAGAAGCTGATTCTTCCACATAACATACCTCAGGAGAATGTATCTAAGGAAAGAAGCCGAAAGAGACAACAGCTAATTGTCTCACACAAGTGATGAGCAGTTGACTTTTACTCCAGTCTACCTTCCTTAATAATTGTCTCCATCTTTTTTTCCCTCTCCTCCATTTTGTAGAACCTTCTTTAAGGCAAGAGCCATGGATAATTGGTAGAGGTAATTCTTTTTATCGGAAAGAACTGCTTTATTTATTGCTGGCTCTGGCAAATGATCAATCTTGCATTATTTGGCAGAAGGTGTTCCCTGCAATGCATCTGTTTCCTCTTAACATAGTTTATCACACAGTTTGATAAATTCCATTTGGTTGCCTGTATGCCATCGTGGCCATTTCTAGCTAAACTGGAACCCTTCAAAGCCCCATTAATTTAAGCACGTGTGTAATATTCCATGAGAGAAGTAGTGCTTCAGGGTGATTAAGGGTGGACTAGATGACCCTACTGCGCCTACAAATGGAAAATGTGAACGCAGCAGCTACACTTTCATAACTGAATGGATTTTACAGATCAGGAAGCCATTTTTCCCTCTGGATTTTAGAGCAACCTTTGTTTTCCTCTCCATGAAACCATTGCTGTTGTTTTTTTTTAAAATATCACTCTCTTTATCTTTAATCTCTCCTCTGCACCTTCCTCTCTTTCTCTTTGGTTGACTTTTTGGTTCTTCACTTTCTCTCTTTTGCCTCTCAGCCCCCTTCTTTCAATCCTTCTTCCCCCCCACCCTCCACCTCTTTCCAACTGGTACACATCTGTTTCTAATTTAGACTTTTTTAAAAAAACTATCAGTTGGAAACAATGCACTCCTTTAAAACAGGAGAAATCAACTCCTGCGCAAAATGACCCTTCTCCAAAAAGTTAAATAAATTGGACCCGAGCCCTAAAACAAGGATTTTTTTTGTTCAGGTTTGTGAAAAGACAAATGAATTTGATATGTTTTTTTTTTACCACCCCCTCAAAAAAAACCCCCACCTTCTCCATGTTATATGTGCGTTTGACAGAGGCAAAGAAAGAGTCCTTACGAAATAATTAACCTGGTTAACAGATTGTGGTGTTAAAAAAAAAACCCCTCAGAACCTATCCAAACCTTTAGAAGAATAGAGCTTTACGTGTGGGATGTGTGGGAAAAGAAAAGTGGGCTTGTAACTTTTTAATGCTCGCATTAATGTTGAGAATCGTAAAAAAGCACAAGCAATTGAAAGCAGATGGTCTTGCTCAGCAAACTTTAATGCCAGCAGTTCCCCCCCCCCACCCCCAGAGCCCTTCCCTCGCCGCTTACTGTTGCGTTTTGGTAACTTTAGGCTGCCTTTGCCAATTAAATTAAGGACAAAGCAAAAATTTTCAACTTACCTAGGAAAAGGATGGAAAGCACCGACATTCCGCCTCTGGGAGAAAGACCTTTCTTCCTCTCCTTTTTTTTTTTTTGTTTTCCCCTTCACTTCTTCCCACTCAGGAATGACAAGCAGACCTGCTCAACATTCAAAGCAGCGCCTCTGGAATGTGCTCTGGGTAATTGCCTCCATGTGCCAGAAAAATATCCAACTTCGTTTTTTCTGCCCTTCTGCCGTTCATCCCCCGTTCACTTTCCATGCAGATCCGAGAAGAGACCTTCCTCTCAAGCCGCCGATTCAGTTTGGAGCCTGTCAACATCTGGAAGGGGAAAGTCAGAGGCGGCGGCAGCAGCAGCGCAGCATAGAGACGCATCCAGGGCTGCCAGAGTAATTTTGCATGTCTGGAAAGAAGAGGAGAGAAGAGAAGGGGTGGGGGGGGGAGTGAGGTGGGGGAGAGAAATCTCAGCGTGCAAGTTTCACCACATGGCTGTGTGTGCGAGGGCAGCCCCTCCCTCCCAACCACCAGGATTAGCCAGGAAGGTTGGGCGTGCAGTGAGCTGTTCCTTACTTCTGGCTATTCGGCAGCCCAACCTTCTGGGGGGTGGGGGGGGGGAAGTAAATAGGCTTTCCTTGTGTCAGAAATGGTTAAAGAGATTAAACATGGAGAACCATCCTCATTCCGCCCGTGCAAAGAAGAAATGAAGCTTCCCTTTGAAAAATAAAGCAAGAAACACGGCCTTAAAGATGAAATGTTGACTGCAGGGATGACTCACGATAGCAAATACAAGCTCCCTGCAAACCCCCCCCCTCTCCTCTTCTCTCTCTCCCTGCAGCCCCTGGAGCAGTCAGATTGAACTGTTGATTTGTGATGGCACAGTGGCCAAAAAGATGGGTGGCGTGGCTTCCCCTTCATTTGGAAGGACACAAAGGAACCCAAGAGTGTCCTAGGTCAGGGGTAGGCAACCTTGGCTCTTTTATGACTCCTGGACTTCAACTCCCAGAATTCCTGAGAATTCTGGGAGTTGAAGTCCACGAGTCATAAAAGAGCCAAGATTGCCTACCCCTGGCCTAGGCGGTTTTCTTGGTAGCAGTACAGGAGATTTACGCTTGTCTCCTCCGGTGACATTTTTTCAGGTTCCCACTCTAGCCCACAGCCTGGTGGTCTCCCATCCTCATGATAACCAAGTCACAACCTCCTTAGCTTTTAAGGTCAGCCAAATTGCTCAATGCTGCCGTTTAGCAGGGCCAAAGATACTGATATAACTAAGAAAGGGAGGCCACCGATTGCCTATATGGATGGAGCCGTCTCTCCTTGTATTGGGTTTATAACTCTGAAATAGGCTACCACTACAGCCTTCAGTAATACAGGTAGTCCTTCACTTACAACGGTTCATTTGGTGACTGTTGAAAGTTACAACGGAACTGAAAAAAGCGACATGACTGTTTCCCCACAGTTGCAACCTGTGAAGCAATCCCACGATCCCCACATTGCAGCAGCCCCACGGTCACGTGATCAAAATCCAGACGCTTGGCAACTGACTCACATTTATGACAGTTGCAACGTCCTGGGGATATGTGATCCCCTTTTGCAACCTTCTGACAAGCAAAGTCGGGGGGGGGGGGGAGCCAGATTCACTGAACAACTGGGTTACTAACTTATCAACTGCAGGAGTTCACTTAACAACTGAGTCAAGAAAAGTCGTAACTTGGGACAAAACTCACTTAACAAATGTCTCACTGAACAACAGAAAATTTGGGCTCAATTGTGGCCGTAAGTCAAGGACTACCTGTATTCCAACATGGCAGTCTTAAAAGGTTTCTGTAGCTGGGGGCATTAATTCAAGGGAATCCGTGAGGTTTTGCTATTATCACCTCAGCAAGGTACCCAAAGTGGGTTTAATTCTGGATGCCCTCTGTGCCAATCTCTGCCAGCCCATGTGACTGACCTTCAAAATCAGCCACGCTGAATCTGCACCTAGAATTGATGACCAACCTCTTTGTATCCCTATTGATGAATGTCCTGGTTGTCGATAAGAACTGCCAAACTCGATCAATGAGAAGAACAAAGATCAGGAGATGAGAATTCTTCGAGTGAAGAAAAGCACAGCTAATCTAATTCCTATTCCTTTGTTCTTGTGTTGGAAAAAAAAGGGCCTGCTAATCACACGAGGTGACAGAACTCACGGGAAATTGCATGTATTTCACTCTGTTTTTATAAAGGCTCCTCTGGTTTAGCCTTCTTCTCAGAACTATTGTACTTCAGATCTCCAAAGCATCCTTGGTTTCTATAAATAGAGAGCAGACAATGAGATTTTTTTAAAAAAAACAACATTTAATTAAGTACGTTCTACAAAAGGAGATGAAAAATGTGCATCGTTTTACTTTCAGGTTTGATTAATTGATGCTTTTTATCTTGGAAATATCAGCATTTTTATAGTTAATAAACTTGGGATAGTAAGTCTACTTTAACTTCACATGTTTTAAAAGTAATTTCCCTTTCCCTTTCCAAAATCTCTGTGTAATATGTCACACAGCTATACTCACTTTGTAGTACTGTATTGCCCCATCATTCATTCATTAATTCATTCATTAATTCATTCATCCATCCATCCATCCATCCATCCATCCATCCATCCATCCATCCATCCATTTGTCAGTTGGTCAGTCAATCAATTCATTTATATGGCTACCCACTTGCCAAAGGAACTCTGGCACCCAACAAGGCAAAAATCAATTTTATCTTCTTAAATGCTAACTAAAACCCCTGCTGCCAAAAGGTTACAGGGTATTCCTTTTGTATAGGATAGTCCTGAAAAAAACCTATTGGGAAAACATCCCAGCAGAAGAATTCTTTTCTGCTTGATCGTATGCAGTGTTTAATGTTGCTCTAAGGTTGGGGGAGGGGAGGGTTGGCGCTCCATAAATAAATCAATAGGAGTGGGTTCTTATTGGATAAACTCATTGGACTGTGAGTCAAAATGGTCTTTTAAGGCAAAAAGAAGCATGCTTTTATCTCTCTTCTGCCCAATCTGTTTTGGAAGAAAGAATGTTGGTTTCCAGAGCTGTTTGCCCCACTGAAAATGGAAGGAATGGACAAAGAATGCAACCTTAATCCACCAGACTTTAAAGAATAGTTGTAACCCAATTTTCAACTGTCTTGTTACCTTTAATATTCACTTTAAGGCAGGAGGATGCTTATACCTTCCTGGATTAACCCAGCCTTTTCTGTGGTTGTAGCTTTGTTTTAATTATCTCTTTGGATAAACAGAAGATACATGGACTGGGATGAAAAAAAAACAAGTAGAAGCCAGTATAGTATATGAATCAGCTTTAAGTGTTAAGCAGGTCACGGTAAGTTAATGGTAAGTACCTCCTTAGCAAATGTCATACCTCAACATTTCGTTTAGCTTTACCTTTGGCATAAGTAGATGAGAACCAGAATTAACAGACTAATAGAGTTGGAAGGGACCTTGGAGGTCTTCTAGTCCAACCCCCTGTTCAAGCAGGAGACCCTATACCATTCCAGACAAGTGGTTGTTCAGTCTTTTCTGAAAAACCTCCAGTGACGGAGCACCCACAACTTCTGGAGGCAAGTTGTCCCACTGATTAATTGTTCTCACTGCCAGGAAATTTCTCCTTAGTTCTAGATTGCTTCTTTTCTTGGCTAGTTTACATCCCATTGCTTCTTGTCCTGCCTTTAAGTGCTTTAGAGAATAAGTTGAGCCCCTCTTCTCTGTAGCATCCCCTCAAATATTGGAACACTGCTAGTCCTACTTTTAATTAAAATAGACCTACATGATTCATTGATACGAGATGTTTTTGAAGGTTCTAGAAAAGGAGGATTCTAAAACTCTATCTTGGATAAATAGTTCATTAAAAAGGAATCCATCCAAAGTCAGCAGAGTCTAGTGGGAAATCTTAACTCTTGCTAAAAAAAATAAAAAAATAAAAGACCACCAGCTTCTTGGCATCCTGCTCTAGCAAATGAGCTTTGCTTTAATTTCCAACTTTTACTCTCACTTAGTTGAACAGTTCAAACATACAAAAGGACTTTGGCTGGATTTTCCAGGTATGCAACAAATCAGTGGAGAAAAAAATATGTTGCGTTTCATCCCTCCCCCACCCTCAGATTCCAGAAACACCAAGCGTGTCATGCGGCATTAGGGCTTGGACAGATGAAGCTCTGTCATCAATGCTCCCCAAATGCTTCATGGCTTTAATAGAATCAATGTGTCAGGAGCCAAGGGAAGCTGTGTTCCCTCCAGTGTCCCTTGAAATCCTTAGAGGTTCATGTAAGGCAGAGAACCGACTCTCTGCTTATTTGCCTGAGCTCGCTTTAGCCTCGTTGAATTTAATGCAGCTTATTTTTCAGTGGATGCAGATAGAAGTCAGAGATCTATGTAACTGCTCCGCATTCAGCCTGGAGTTCGATCCTGACGGGGCTCAAGGTTGACTCAGCCTTCCATCCTTCTGAGGTCAGTAAAAAGAGGACCCAGATTGTTGAGGACAATATGCAAAACATTGTAAACCGCCCAGAGACTTCTGTAAAGCTCTATGGGGGTGGTATATAAATCTTAGTGCTATTCCTATTCCTATTCCTGAGAAAGTTGAATAAATTAATGCACCGGAAAGAATTATGGGAAGCGATTGATTAAATCATTTATTTTATTTATATTACCAGCCATCTTACCAAAGCAACTCTGGATGGTGAAAGAGTTAAAACGCCAGTATAAGAATAAATAACGCAAGGTATACATAATAAGGAGAAGAGGGGAAAAAAATGAACACTGAATTAATAAAACCTCACCAGCTTGATTGACTTCCTGAGCCCCATGCCTGGGAGAAGGGACAGGGCTTAAGGGCCTTGCGAATGGCTGGCAGGGTCTGGCCAATGCAATTTGAGTTAGGGTGGCGTTCCAAAGAGCAGGCACATCAACCAGAAAGGCGATTTTCTTGGGTCGTGCTAGATGACCCTCTTCAATAGCTGAGATTTCAAATTCTGCATTCAAAGCAGAACCATGTTGTGTCTTTGGGTATCTCTCTGTTAGTCCCGAGATTTAAATCCAGGGCTTAGTCCTTGCATCTTTTTGAGTCAAGGGCCATTGGACTCCTCTTCCTCCAGCCTTGAAGATTTTTTTCCCCCTACCATCTTAAAATTGTTAAGAAAGAGTTTGCGAGGTGTGTTAGTGGTGTGGTTTCTTCTGTCTTCCCTTCAAATTTGTTTTAAGCAGGACTACAGTCTGAGACAAATGTTTAAAGAAAAGCACCATGTTTCCCCGAAAATAAGACCCGGATTTATATATTTTTTGCCTCCAAAAGAGACAATAGATCTTATTTTTGCGGTAGGTCTTACCCGCTTACCTCAGGACCGCTGCAGCCAGACCTCCCACACCCAGACCCCTGTCAGGCTGCCGGC